GATCATGCAAGTGGCCCTCCTTTGGACCCTCTCCATGTTGTCCACATCCCTCTTGAAGTGCAGCGCCCAAAACTGGACGCAGTACTCCAGCTGCAGCCTGACCAGTGTCACATAGAGGGGGAGGATCACCTCCTTGGACCTGCTGGAGATGCACCTGTGAATGCATGACAAGGTACGGTTAGCCTTCCTGACTGCATCGCCACACTGTCGGCCCATCATTTTGGCATCAGTAATGACTCCAAGATCCTTTTCTGCCTCTGCACTGATGAGAAGGGAGTTCCCCAGCCTGTAGGTATGCTGCTGGTTCTTCCCCCCCCACAGGCATACAGTACAGGCAGTCCTCAGACTTACGACACAATTGGTTTCTGAAAACTGTGTCTTAAGTCAAAATGTTGCAACTCGGAACCAATTTTCTCATCAGAAACAATGTTATAAATGAGGGATTGGTTCCTGAACCAAGGCCCGATACCCTATTTTCACTAAAAAATACCCCAGAATGTAGCTATATTACTCAAGATATACAATATAAATATTGTACAAAATATTATACAAAATATACAATATAAATATTGTAAACAGCAATCATATTGATTTTGAAGGACTTCTTTGGAAGTGACTTTGCTGGACTTTTTGAAAGGCTCTTGGTTGGACTTTTTGAAGGGTTCTTGGCTGGAGTCTTCTCAGGAGTCTTGGATGCAGGTTCTTCTGAACTCTTGTCTGCTTTCTTAAAGAAAGTGTCCAAGGAAGTTTGGACAGATGTTCTCCAGGGAGATGTGCAATACAGCGAAGTTGTTCGCTGGCGTAGCATCACATTGGATCAAGCGTTGTAAAACTGAAACTGACATCATAAAGTTGAAATAGGGTGTAAATTTATAAACACTGTAAATGTGAAACGTTGTAACTCGAAATGCTGTAAGTCAGGGACTGCCTGTACCAGAGAAGGAGCCTTTTCCCCAGCATGTAACTGGACCTTGTCGTGCATCCACAGGTGCATCTCAAG